TGGGATTAAAAATACAAATATAGGACAAAACACACAAGAGAGACACCACAACACTACATAAAGAGAGACCTAAGACAACAACGTAGCATGGCAGCAACACATGACAACACAGCATGGTAGCAACACGACATGACAACAACATGGTAGCAACACAACATGGAAGCAGCACAAAACATGGTACAAACATTATTGGGCAAAGACAATAGCACAAAGGCAAGAAGGTACAGACAACAATACATCACGCGAAGCAGCCACAACTGTCAGTAAGAGTGTCCATGATTGAGTCTTTGAATGAAGAGATGGAGATAAAACTGTCCAGTTTGAGTATTTTTTGCAGCTCGTTCCGTACTTACTTTCCTGTGTTCTTCTTATTTTTATTTCGCGTGTTTCTTGTGTTCTACTTTCTGATATACTGATATTGATTACTGCATTGTTGGGAAAGAGCTTGCAAGAAAGACATTTCACTGTGCTTAAAAACTTGAAACTATTTCCAAAGCGCATAATAACTTGACACTGTTTGAAGACAGCCAGCACGGTTGTGAGGATCATTGTGAATAGTGTCTACTTGACGAATCCCTTTTGACATTTACCACGTCACTCTGAATGCTATTATCAGTTCTTCACACACATATCACACTTCACACTCACATTCTGTACATACAGTCCTGTTGGATTCTCTTCCTCACAATGGTGGAATTAAGTGTTCTAAAGGGTCTGTTACAAGCAGGTTTCAAGTTTTAATGTCACGTGCACAAGTACAGTGAAATCAGTGGAGGCTGCTGAGGGGAGGACGGCTCATAATAATGGCTGGTACGGCGCAAATGGAATGGCATCGTACACATGGAAACCATGTGTTTGATGTATTTGATACCATTCCACTGATTCTGCTCCAGTCATTACCACAAGCCCGTTCTCCCCAAATAAGGTACCACCAACCTCCTGTGAGTGAAATGCCTTTCTTGCAAGCTCTAAACCCAACAATGCAGTAATCAATATAAATGTAGTACTAAACAAAGCAGGTCAACTTTATGTGTATTCCATACCCTCTCCTATCTTCACTTCAGTTCACTTTTTGTCTTTACTTCAAGTTGTAATATATGTTGATTGAAGGTAGTTATCATGCGGTGGGGAAGCCAACAAGCGTGCACACACGCACACACACATTCCTCTACAGTCTCGTCATCCAATCTTTTTTCACACATTAGGATGAGTGAAAAGCACTACAAACACACATACACTCCTCTTGAGACATACAATAACATCTCTGCACACATTTACAGAACGAGGGAGCTCTTGTCTGGAGAGATAAAGAGAGCTGGAGAGAGGGAAGAAGCGAGAGAGAGAGATGGAGTAGTTGTGGTTGTTGTAGATTATTATTTGCTGTTTATGCGAGGGGCCTGCGTGAGACAATCATCCCAAGTGCCCTACAATCAGGGCCTGAGTACAGTGGCGAAGGGTGGGGGTTGGGGCGAGACCTAACGAACCCTCTACCCTCCTACCCTCTCTCTCCTCTTCTCTTCTCTCCACTCCACTCCTCTGTCCACTCCCTCGCTTCCCTCCACTCCACAGTACTCTTCATTCCATTCCATTGTGCCACTGAGTCCAAGGGCAAAGCCCTCTCTCTCCTCCTCCTCTCTCCTCCTTTCTCTACCACTCCCTCTCTTCCCTCTCCACCCTCTTTCTGCACCAGGAGATTCAAGCAGCAAGTTTAAGGAATAAAACGCCTCACTGAAACTTGTGTGAAAGAGAAAGAGAGCGAGAGAGAAAGAGAGAGAGAAAGAGGGAGAGATAATTGCAATAAAAGAGAGGAAGATTAGAAAAAGACAATGACGGGGCTAATGAGAGAGATATGGAACAATAGAGCATGTCATTTGTCCTCTTCTGACCGGGGTCATCAGTGTGTGATCTGTGACAACACTGTGACCTAATCTTCGTGTCACCTCTGACCTTCAGCCCAGCCTCTACGACCAGGAGTTTTAGGACCCGACCGTGTTTGCTTCCAACCACTCGTCTCCAACAGTGCAACGACGTGCGTTTGACCCAGTGTTGACGGCGAGACACGGTCCACCGGTCGCCCCTCGCTGTCCCTCTCGCTTTCCTCCTTGTTCTTAATGGTAAACTAACAGATTGTAAACATGCTGCTAGCACTTCTCTCCCTCTCTGTCTCTACCCCCCTCCTTCCTTCCCTCGCTCCCTCTCTCTTTTTTCCGGGAGTATTTTTTAAACAATGTCCTTCATGTTAGAGTGGTTACTGCAGCAGAAGGACATCATTAGCGCCGTGGTTCAACTGTAATTTACACCATTAGAGAGGCAGGAGCCAATTTTATTGGCTAGTAAATTTCAGCTCTGAAATATTTAGACCATATGGCTCAATTTGTGTAATAACCTTAATTTCTGCACCCTTCAGGTCCTGGTGGCTGCTGGGGCTGGCGGTGGAGCGAGGAGCATACACACACACGCACACACACACACACACAGTGCTAGACGGTAGCGGTAGCTGCATCAGATTAATGCGGTGTCAGGTTGTGTTTGGGTGAAGGCGTGCGAGCAGCAACCAGATGGTCCCGGGGCTGATGACTGTCAGGGGTCCTGATCTGATCAATCGCATGTATTAATACATCTCCCTTCACCAGGGGCCCTACACACAACATCTGGAGAGGAGGGAGGAAGGAGGGAGAGAGGGAGGAGGAGGAGAGGAGGGAGGAAAGAGAAGGAGAGGGGTATAGTGTAGGAATGTATATGTCCAGTATTAATACATCTGACTTCATCAGGGGTCCAGGGACCACAACACAACATCTGGATAGAGAGGGAAGAGAGGAGAGAGGGAGGAGAGGAGAGAGGGAGGAGAGGAGAGAGGGGAAAGAAAAGAGGAGGGAGGAACGATAGTGTGAAAAAATGAAGTGGAGAGAGTAGAGAGAAGACAGAGGGAGAGAATAGTGTGAAAAAGAGGGAGATATAGAAAAGAGGGAAAGAGGCTGGATCTGGAATAGGAAGTGAGGAGCGAATAGGTGTTAGGCTAGCATCTCTAGATTGGTGTACAGTGTGTGTGTGTGTATGTGTAACCGCGGTGTGCCAGGCGGGCGCGGGGTTCTGGCGGGGCAGACCGCCTGCGTTCTGTACCCTCATTCTGTCCGATCGCCATGACGACCCCATTAATCTTCCACACTGGCACGGAGAGGAGCTCCCAGCCCAGTCAGAGATCAATACACACACACACACACACACACACACACACACACACACACACAGGCTCATTGCATATATCTGTGGTGTTGATCTCCCTCTCAGTTGTGGACATTAGTGAGGAGAACATCAAACCATCTGCTCTGAAGGCTGTCAGACTAGAGAGGAGAAAACTACACCAGACTACACATTAGATACACTGCTGATTAACTGCCAACTTCTCTCCCATTAACCCATAAACCTAAGAACTTCACCAACCTGTTTTTCCACATAAAAACAGACTTGCACTGTTTTTAGACAAAATAGGTTGGTGGAGTTTTTTATGCTAATTGAAGAGAAAGGGAGAGAGGAGGAGAGAGAAGGAGAGAGGAGAGAGATGGAGGAGAGGAGGAGAGGAGGAGAGAGATGGAAAGAGATGGAGGAGAGGAGGAGAGAGGAGGAGATGAGAGGAGGAGAGGAGAGAGGAGGAAAGAGAAAATGTTAGAGAGTTACGTCCACAGAGAAACAGGTGTGATAGCATAAGGCCAGAGGTAGAGAGCTACGGTCCCAACCTCCCAAACCCCGGCCCGCAGACAAAACACACACACACACACACACACACACACACACCCACCCACCCACCCACCAGTGGAACAGAGGTGATTTCATGAACATTCATACACATTCGCGTGATGAGTAACCTTGCCTGAAGACTTGTCTTAGCTCCTGGCCTTGGCTTTAGGTCAGAGGAGTAACACAGTCTTGTGTCTCTTCGTTCTTTTTTTCTCAGTGAGCGACTGAGACTGACTGCACGCCCCCAGTGTCACAAATGACCGTGGCGGCATTCTGGCCGCTCCACATCAATGAAACACATGCACACGCACACGCACACACACACACACACACACACACACACACACACACACACACACACACACACACACACACACACTGCTCCATATCAATGAGGAGGTGAAAGGTCTGTATTTCCATGCTGTATTAATTATGACTGACGACACAAAGGTCAGAGGGTGAGAAAACAAGATGTATGAAGCAACTAGATATCTATATACACCACCCTTTTACATTGTTCTCTCTCTCTCTATTTCTCATCCTCTCTTTCTTCCCTTATGGAAAAACCACATGAATTCCACATGTGAACACGTGAAGTCTTCCAAAAAACACATTTTCATGTGATCACACGTGATCTTACGTGAAGTTAATGTGATAACATGTGACAACATGTAAATCAACATGTGATCAATGACAATCAACAACAATGGCATCGTGGTGAAAGTGATGGTATATACGTCGACACACAGAGCTTTGAGCGGTGGCGTGGTGTACTGAGGGGATGGCATCACAGAGAGGCGTTGGCATGGCGTTCTACTGATGTCAGGCTGTTTACTGAGCTGCCAGGTTACATTTAGACTGGCTGACAGGCAGCAGGGGAGGATGTGTGTGTGTGTGTGTGTGTGTGTGTGTGTGTGTGTGTGTGTGTGTGTGTGTGTGTGTATGTATGTGTGTGAAAGGCACATTTACAGTTATTCTCTGTGTGGGAGCGTTGGAGCAGACTTGGCGTGGAGGATTGTGGGAAGATCCCTGGTGGACAGGAGCCCCTGGCTGTGTGTATGCCTACAGGCCCCTTCACTGGCAAACAGATGGCACCAGCACCACAGGCTGTGCCCAACACATACACGCAATGATAATACAGACACGGATGCATATCGTGTGTGTGTGTGGCATATCGTGTGTGTGTGTACTGTCTTACCGGTACAGTCAGCGCAGTAATAGTAGAGGTGTTGAGAGTGGGGTCTGTGTGCTGTTTTCTGTACACCAGGTGATACTGTGAAATCCTTCCATTGGGTTGTCCAGGCTGTGTCCAGTTCAACTGTACTGAGTACGCACCTGCAGATATTACACACACAGTGAGAATAACATAAGTGAAACATCACATTTTCTTCCCTCCCTCTCGTTCATCTCTCACTCACTCGTCGGTGTGACAATAGGAGGAGCAATGTCCTCTGGACCCGCCTCCATGGTGACAGCTGAAGCCCATTGGCTGTGAGCAGAGCCCCGGGAGTTGTGGGCATGTACTCTGTACTGGTATTGTCTGAAGGGCTGGAGGGCGTCGCTGGCGTCGATGAACTCTAGCGGCCCATTGGACCAGATAAACACCAGCAGCTCCTCCTGCGTCCCCATTGGTCGCCTTGCAGGAAACAGGAAGAGCAAGTAAGTTACACTAACTAACCCTGAGATTCATCTCTACGCCTTAGTTCCAACTTCAGAGACAGATAGAGAGAGAGAGAAATAGGAAGAGGGGTTAAAAGAGATTTATTTTTTTATTTTTTATTTCACCTTTATTTAACCAAGAGCAATACAAGTTCTCATTTACAACTGCGACCTGGCCAAGATAAAGAAAAGCAGTGCGATAAAACAACACAGAGTTACATATGGGGTAAAAAAACATAAAGTCAAAAAATACAACAGAAAATATATATACAGTGTGTGCAAATGTAGCAAGTTATGGAGGTAAGGCAATAAATAGGCTATAGTGCAAAATAATTACAATTAGTATTAACACTGGAATGCTAGATGTGCAAGAGATTATGTGCAAATAGAGATACAGGGGTGCAAAAGAGCAAAATAAATAACAATATAGGGATGAGGTAGTTGGGTGGGCTAATTTCAGATGGGCTGTGTACAGGTGCAGTGATCGGTAAGGTGCTCTGACAACTGATCCTTAAAGTTAGTGAGGGAGATAAGAGTCTCCAGCTTCAGAGATTTTTGCAATTCGTTCCAGTCATTGGCAGCAGAGAACTGGAAGGAATGGCGGCCAAAGGAGGTGTTGGCTTTGGGGATGACCAGTGAGATATACCTGCTGGAGCGCAGACTACGGGTGGGTGCTGCTATGGTGACCAATGAGCTAAGATAAGGCGGGGATTTGCCTAGCAGTGATTTATAGATGGCCTGGAGCCAGTGGGTTTGACGACGAACATGTAGTGAGGACCAGCCAACAAGAGCGTACAGGTCACAGTGGTGGGTAGTGTATGGGGCTTTGGAGACAAAACGGATGGCACTGTGATAGACTACATCCAATTTGCTGAGTAGAGTGTTGAAGGCTATTTTGTAAATGACATCGCCGAAGTCAAGGATCGGTAGGATAGTCAGTTTTACGAGGGCATGTTTGGCAGCATGAGTGAAGGAGGCTTTGTTGCGAAATAGGAAGCCGATTCTAGATTTAACTTTGGATTGGAGATTCTTAATGTGAGTCTGGAAGGAGAGTTTACAGTCTAACCAGACATCTAGGTATTTGTAGTTGTCCACATACTCTAGGTCAGACCCGTCGAGAGTAGTGATTCTAGTCAGGTGGGCGGGTGCCAGCAGCGTTCGATTGAAGAGCATGCATTTAGTTTTACTAGTGTTTAAGAGCAGTTGGAGGCTACTGAAGGAGTGTTGTATGGCATTGAAGCTCGTTTGGAGGTTTGTTAACACAGTGTCCAATGAAGGGCCAGATGTATACAAAATGGTGTCGTCTGCGTAGAGGTGGATCTGAGAGTCACCAGCAGCAAGAGCGACATCATTGATATACACGGAGAAAAGAGTCGGCCCAAGAATTGAACCCTGTGGCACCCCCATAGAGACTGCCATAGGTCCAGACAACAGGCCCTCCGATTTGACACACTGAACTCTATCTGAGAAGTAGTTGGTGAACCAGGCGAGGCAGTCATTTGAGAAACCAAGGCTATTTAGTCTGCCAATAAGAATGCGGTGGTTGACAGAGTCGAAAGCCTTGGCCAGGTCGATGAAGACGGCTGCAAGGTACTGTCTATTATCGATCGCAGTTATAATATCGTTTAGGACCTTGAGCGTGGCTGAAGTGCACCCATGACCAGCTCGGAAACCGGATTGCATAGCGGAGAAGGTACGGTGGGATTCGAAATGGTCGGTGATCTGTTTGTTAACTTGGCTTTCAAATACTTTCGAAAGGCAGGGCAGGATGGATATAGGTCTGTAACAGTTTGGATCTAGAGTGTCACCCCCTTTGAAGAGGGGGATGACCGCGGCAGCTTTCCAATCTCTGGGGATCTCAGACGTTACGAAAGAGAGGTTGAACAGGCTAGTAATAGGGGTTGCGACAATTTCGGCGGCTAGTTTTAGAAAGAAAGGGTCCAGATTGTCTAGCCCAGCTGATTTGTAGGGGTCCAGATTTTGCAGCTCTTTCAGAACATCAGCTGTCTGAATTTGTGTGAAGGAGAAGCGGGGGGGTGGGGGGGGGCATGGGTAAGTTGCAGCGGAGGGTGCAGAGTTGGTGGCCGGGGTAGTGGTAGCCAGGTGGAAAGCATGGCCAGCCGTAGCAAAATACTTGTTGAAATTCTTGATTATTGTAGATTTATCGGTGGTGATTGTGTTTCCTAGCCTCAGTGCAGTGGGCAGCTGGGAGGAAGTGCTCTTATTCTCCATGGACTTTACAGTGTCCCAAAACTTTTTGGAGTTAGTGCTACAGGATGCAAATTTCTGTTTGAAAAAGTTAGCCTTTGCTTTCCTGACTGCTTGTGTATATTGGTTCCTAACTTCCCTGAAAAGTTGCATATCGCCGGGGCTATTTGATGCTAATGCAGTACGCCACAGGATGTTTTTGTGCTGGTCAAGGGCAGTCAAGTCTGAGGAGAACCAGGGGCTATATCTGTTCTTAGTTCTGTATTTTTTGAATGGGGCATGTTTATTTAAGATTGAGAGGAAATTACTTTTAAAGAACAACCAGGCATCCTCTACTGACGGAATGAGATCTATATCCATCCAGGATACCTGGGCCAGGTCAATTAGGAAGGCCTGCTCGCTAAAGTGTTTTAGGGAGCGTTTGACAGTGATGAGGGGTGGTCGTTTGACCGCGGACCCGTTACGGACGCAGGCAATAAGGCAGTGATCGCTGAGATCCTGGTTGATGACAGCGGAGGTGTATTTAGAGGGTAAGTTAGTCAGGATGATATCTATGAGGGTACCCATGTTTACGGATTTAGGGTTGTACCTGGTAGGTTCGTTGATAATTTGTGTGAGATTGAGGGCATCTAGTTTGGATTGTAGGATGGCCGGGGTGTTAAGCATATCCCAATTTAGGTCACCAAGCAGTACGAACTCTGAGGATAAATGGGGGGCAATCAATTCACATATGGTGTCCAGGGCACAGCTGGGGGCTGAGGGGGGTCTGTAGCAAGCGGCAACAGTGAGAGACTTATTTCTGGAAAGGTGGATTTTTAGAAGATAGAGAGAGAGAGAAATAGGAAGAGGGGTTAAAAGAGGGTAATGAAAAGTAAGAGGAGAGAGAGAGGGGAGAAAGGGAGGAAGCGAGAGGAGGAGAAGGAGCGAAAAGGGGCACGGAGATGAGGATGGTAGTCTCTAATCGTTCCAACTGCATCAAAACAACATTGCGTGCGTGTTTGTGTCTTGGTTAACAATGTATATCTAAACTACTAAACAACAGCTGGACTTGATGACATACCACAAACAACACCCCTCCACCCTTTCCTTCACCTCTCACAAACTTAACCAAACCTGTCTCCATCAGAAACCACTGAATCTCAGACACACAGATTCACTAAAGTCGATGGCTGATGCATGCCCCCAAAATCTATAGCAGGCCCCCCAATACATCCTGAGTGGCGCAGTGGTCTAAGGCACTGCATCGCAGTGCTAACTGTGCCACTAGAGATCCTGGTTCAAATCCAGGCTCTGTCGCAGCCGGCCGCGACCGGGAGACTCATGGGCGGCGCACAATTGGCCCAGGGTAGGGGAGGGAATGGCCGGCAGGGATGTAGCTCAGTTGGTAGAGCATGGCGTTTGCAACGCCAGGGTTGTGGGTTCGATTCCCACGGGGGGCCAGTATGAAAAAATATGTATTCACTAACTGTAAGTCGCTCTGGATAAGAGCGTCTGCTAAATGACTAAAATGTAAATGTAATAGTGTATTATGTGGGAGAGTCAGACAGTGTGTGTTTGGTCGTCTTGGTGGTGCTAAGCATGATCTGAACGCTCTACTGTACTACTCTCTCTGGGATTAACTTCTGCTACTGAATTTGAGTAACTCCAATTTTGGAGAAAATCTCCCCATTGACATCTGGTTTACCAAAGTCTGACTCCTTATGTGGATGTGAAGTTAGGATTCTTCCCTCAGCCTGTATGCTAATGATGTTTCCACAGGACTTATATACTCTCTGACCCTGCATACAGATACCACTGGTCAACAACACACACTTGACCTTGACCACAAACAAACACACGCAGACAAACACACACACGCACAGGTAGACACATGGGTGCACGTACACAACACACACACACCAGGCAGACGAAAAACTGGCACACTGGGTTGTCGATACACACAAATGCAGACTTAACATACACATACGTATTCCAGGCGGACTAAACACACACACACACACACACGACACACACCAACACACATACAAAGCAGATTAGAACGTCTCCCCTTAGTCTAAATTACCTAATAAACTATGAGGTGCATGAGGATGTTATTACTATGACGTTATTACCTGTGTATGAATGGTTATTACCTTTATATGAATGGTTACTACCTATGTATGAATGGTTATTACCAGTGTATGAATGGTTAATATCAGTGTATGAATGGTTATGACCAGTGTATGAACTGTTACGACCAGTGTATGAATGTTTACTGCCTGTGTATGAATGGTTATTGCTTGTGTATGAATGTTATTACCTGTGTATGAACGGTTACTACCAGTGTATGAACGGTTACTACCAGTGTATGAATGGTTACTACCAGTGTATGAATGGTTATTACCTGTGTATGAATGGTTTTTACCTGTGTATGAATGGTTATTACCTGTGTATGAATGGTTATTACCTGTGTATGAATGTTATTACCTGTGTATGAACGGTTACTACCAGTGTATGAACGGTTACTACCAGTGTATGAATGGTTACTACCAGTGTATGAATGGTTATTACCTGTGTATGAATGGTTTTTACCTGTGTATGAATTGTTATTACCTGTGTATGAATGGTTATTACCTGTGTATGAATGTTATTACATGTGAACGAATGGTCATTGCCTGTGAACTAATGGTTATTCCCTGTGTATGAATGGTTACTGCCTGTGTATGAATGGTTATTGCTTGTGTATGAATGTTATTACCTGTGTATGAATGGTTATTACCTGTGTATGAA